AAAAAATTAGCCAATAAAGACTAATAATGTTACTTCATATTTGCTAATCTGTGGTTGACAAAAGATTTTCCAAGCAGTTTCTGTCACTCCATCTTAAATGTTTGTTTCTTTGCTTTGATTCACTACAGATTTCGTTTAACTTGTGCAACGTTCCTGCCATTATGTTAACACGCTAATATTACAGACAGCTGGGCACCAGTCTGGGTTTGGTGTGGAATAATCACTCTAAGCGCTTCAGTAACAGTTCTTAGTAAGTCAAAGATGCAGCAGTTTGCTGAAACCACAACTTATCTCTGATTGGCTGGCAAGAGACAAGAGCAGAAAAAACCCACCTGAAACCAAAGATTGAGCCACAGGGATTACGTTTACACATGCTAACCTCTTTATTTAGCACTGGCTGTGTTTAATATAATTATCCAGCACTGTAACAGTATACATATGACAGGAAATAACAAAAACCCTTTAATCATGTAGACTGCTAACTACATGTTAGCTTTTTGTCTTTTCTTTCCTCTTTACACTGGGCTAACAATGTCATTATTCTCATTACGTGACTTGTTTAGATATCATCCTGCAGGGAATTTGTAATGTTTTAACTTAAAAGAGATTGATTTGCTCTAATGGTTGCTTGTGCTGATAAGCAAACCCAGAGCTGTTTAAAGACATTAATTTCACATTTATCTCCTATCACTGAATCTCCCCTCCCAGAAAATCTAAGATAAAGGTAATGTTTTCTGAGTATGACTAAATAAACTGAATCCAAAAAGCATGGCAAAACATCCACGAACATGCAAATACATGTTCCAAGCATGAGTAACTTTGCCCACTCAGACACACTCACACAGACATACCGGTGGCCCTGGTTTCCCTCTGGGCCCAGGAAGACCAGGTGCACCAGCAGCACCCTGAAAGACCAACACACACCATTTTTGAGTTGATTTCACAAAGTCTGTGGTTGACTTTTCTAGTTTTTTAATCAATCTCTATGTACCGTAATGGAGCAAACACAGGTAGAACCTATTGGTAATAGCAGATACACACATTGCATGGTCACATGGCGTGCTATGCTTTTGTAAGGACGCTTACCTTATCCCCCTGGTACCCCATCTCTCCTGGCTCGCCCCTTTGTCCGGTTTCACCCTAGATTTCATAGTATCAAACAGAGATATAACACAACACTGCACTGCCGCAATAATCTGAAGAAACCACAAACAAAAAATCGGCACACACTATACAGAGGCTGTTTAATGCACCAGCACTATCAAAATTCAGTTTGATAGGTTGAGTTCAATGTCGTGAAAGCAAATGAAGAGTCCGTAAAGAACCACTGGAGCAATATCAGCGTTTAACATGAAAAAATGATTAAACATTAACACATAGGACTGAGTTTGCTGGATGTGTTAGCAAAATGTCACAAGGATCTCATATAGTACGTCCAAGTCACACATTACACACAGATGCACTGCAATAATATAAATATTTAGATCACCTTATCACCTTTCAATCCAGGCAGGCCGGCTCGTCCTGTTGGGCCCTGTCGCAGAGGGAGCGGAACAAAGGGAAGGAAAAGTTTAACGTTCAATCACTTAGGATTCTCCTAAGATGTAAAAAAAAAAATGGTAGAAGCAAATATCAGGCCCACCTGAGGTCCCACCATACCAGGCAGTCCTCGTGGTCCCTCAGGCCCTGGGTCTCCCTGCGAAGAGAAGGACACAGTGGAATTTATGTATCACAAATATGTATCACAAATACACACACGTAGTACTTGTAATACGAGTCCATTGTTGTTGTCTGATAGTGAATGGCATTTTTGCACAAAATATTTCTGATCCATTGTTGACATTGTTTTGACATGCAGCACATTCCTGTTTGCCACAACCCTATGAGAAACATAAGCAGTGTTGGCAGAGTATCCAGTTGTTTTGCAGCGGTTTGGGTTGCCAGACCCCAACAGTCAATCCACTCTAATTGACAGAGGTGAGGGGAGACTGGCCAGAAAGTGTGGCTGGACCAAACAGCAGACAGGCTGCTCAGGTAGCTTTCACCCTGTCTGCAGTAATAGTCAGAAGCACTGATGTGATGACAACAATTTGTACATGCCCAAGTATGTGTGAGAGCCTACATGCTATACTATTCCCACAGACGCAGCAGATACAAGTTACTCTGGGTTTTATTTCCCCTCTATGCCTAAAGATAGTGGAAGCAATACCATATTTGCTCTGTAGCAGCAATGTCTGATGCAACCAACAAAAGCATAGTGAATACAGATGGATACAAGACCAAAATAAAATCCAGAATTTTGCACCACTCGTCTGCAGAAAAGGCCTGAGAGTAATAATGTTACTGAAAAACAAACCTAAAAGAATTAAAGAAACAACCACTAAAAACAATCAATGTGTCATATGCATATATATGCACAAAATCAGTAATAAGTATTACAGAATACTGTCTATGTTGCATCATCAAAGACATGTGGCTTAAACTATAAGTCCATCTGGACCCCTTAAGGTCAGTGTTTGATGCTCCGCTGTGGTACCAGAGGAGGACACACACAAATCACACACAAATCACATGCTTTCCATCAAAAGAGGCTTTCAACAGTGAACACATGAAAAATGATGCACTGAAAGAAGGGGAAAAGCACAGATAGAAAATGCTCCCCCATTGCCCCCACCCAAAAAACTCCAGAGTCCACTGGCCCAGCTGAAACGACAGGGTACATCAACATCCCACACAGAGCCTTTCCTCAAACTGCTGTCAAGATGAAGCCTGTCTGCCAGGTGGTTAAACATCATCCAAACCGCTATCTGCTCGCCATGCGGGGAAGACAATTGGTTCGAGGCTCGATCAAATCCAGATTGCTGCATTCCTGTACATCATGTTTCAACACAACCGTTGTAGCCTCAGAAAATCCAATTAGACATAGAAATGTTTCTACACCCAGGACATCATAATCCCATTTAAGCGCGCCACTTCAAATGCCTCCGATTCAGACCCAGACAAGATTTAGTGCATTTTAATTTAGACTTGGCCACAAACAGCATGTACCTCTGTTAGCCACACACCAAATCTGATTGGCTACATACCAAAAAAAGGGTTGGGCCTCCTCTGGTAGCTTATGTGCTTATGCCGTTAAAGCGATTAATTATGTGAAAGATATTTGAGTCTCTGTGATCAAGTAGCTCCTGTAGGTGTAACGTGTAGGTCCCTTTTTTCACCACGTAGTTTATGTGTAGACAGCTGTTATTCCTTGCTATTGAGACATATACCAATAGCTAATTTCACTGTAACTTCAAAGTAACTTCAGAAGAATAGATGAGAAATCTAAAAGGTTAATCTAGTTCCTGACACAGTCACAGTCCAGTGTAGCTAAATGACTTTGGTGCAAACTACTGAACTGCAATGCCCATCATTTCCTGTCTGTCTTCAATATCATGATTGCTACCTTCATGGACACATTCACAAGTACTTTGAGTGTAAATAGAGCCATTCCTAAATAAAATGCAGCTAGTATATAAAAACAACAACAAAAAACATGGTGGAAGAATTGTAAAGAAAAAAACAAGGGTATTATTACAACTACTCTGGTCTCCATCTCATCCTACTGTTTTTCTTTCAGGCTATGAAAAAGTGTCGGGCTGCATCACATTTTGCTGAGTCACACACTGGCAGAGACATCAAGTGCATACCAGAACGAACACTTGCTGTTTATGTTCTCTCTGCGATTACTCGAGTAAAGGTTCTAACCACGTGCAACAGGCTTTTAAATAAATGAGTGAGCACAACGAGAGCCTCAACGGTGTGACTGACAGTGAGACGTGAAAATGAGTTTTAGATGTCAAATTAAAGTTCTTTGCGAGATTCGTCCAGCGTCAAAATCACCCAGCTGGAAAGTTGAGTAAATATGATTTATTACATCAAAGGCTGGATTAAAAAGGTGCGGGGATTTGGGCTCTCTAGTATGATTACTCAAAAGTACTTACTGGCCATAACTTGTCTGAGAACTGCATCAGCTTTAATTATTAATAAGTCAGTTACCTCCTCCTTTTTTGCATTTGAGTAAAAGTAAAAGTATATAAATTGCAAAAAACTATCTTATCACTGACTTCATTTGAGTAGTAGCATTTGACGTTGCTCCGGACAACACAACCCGAAAGTGTTAAAGCGTTCACATCGGAGCTTATGATCAACATCACTGAACACAGTGAAGCGCAGTTCGTCAGATGCAACTGTGAAGGAACAAAACGTGGTGGCACCTTGATTTCATTTGGTCAGAAATGTAATTTACTGTTTTTCTTTGGTAGGAATTCGTGCAAACTTCAAAAGCTATTTCTTTGTTAATAAATACTGTTGAAAAGCCTGTTTATTTCCCTTATATCTTGCCAAGAAGCATTGTTGGCAACAAAGGAATAATCAACAAAACACAAATTTCCTTACCTTTTGTGCTAATTTTAAATAGGCAAGGCAAGGAAAGGAAAGGAAAGGAAAGCCCATTCACACACATACAAGTGTGTAAATCCGTGTCACATCCTTTTCTTTTTACACCAAGTGGTCTGCGGTTTCTGAATGAGACCTGTCATCAGTTAAACACAGCAAGTGGCATGGCTAGCAGAACTGATATAATCAAAAGCAACTCTATGTATTTTTGCATAGCACATGTAAAATTCTGCATGATATTAGGTTGGGGGGGGGGGGTTTGAACCAAAACATTTGAAGACAGTGTGTGCATACTTCCTGTCTGGCTGTTTCAGTAGGATCAGTGACTTACAGCCAGTAGCTGAGGCGAATGCTGAGAAATCATTCCTCCAGCTGTGTCTAGCGCCACTCAGTGACCCCTCAAAAATCCCCAATAAATTCAAAGATACGAGGAATGTAAACGACACTTGAAAGCACCGGACAGGTGCTGTATACAGTTGTATCAGGGTGGCTGACGTGAACATCTGGAAGTAACTACAGACACACGATACTTCATTCTGCAGTAATGGAAAAAAGCTTGTTCTCTTTTAGGCCTCTGATGGTCTTTCCTTAATTTAAATGTATTTTAACCTCTTTATTGTAACTCACTTTACCCTTTAACAGCAAACAACAAGCTCAGCTCCAGTACTCTAAACTCAACCTGACATTAGACTAAACAAAAAACAAACAAAGCAGGCAGATATATATTCTCTTTATTCTCTACACCCTGTCTGCATGTGGTAAGTTTTGCTTTCACTAAGGTTTCCGAGGTCTGGCTCTTTTTAACATGTAAGCCCATGTTTTCCTATTTATACGAGTCCCTTACTTATGGCCTTACCAGTGGCTAAAGCATGAACATACATAAACAAAAAGAAACCCACTGACAGTCACCTGGCCTCTACTAAACACAACAAGAGCAGGACGAGACACCAAAGCTGAAAATTTCCTCCACATCAGGCATGAATTAACTTTCTGGATGTAGAAGAGCTCAGAAAAGTAAAACATCCTTCCAAAGATTCCTGGATCCAGATACTTATCATCTCCAGAAGTTAATCACTTCTGAATTGGGCCAAGCCCCACCTCTGGTGCACTTTGTAATAGCAAATATGTCAATACCTCTTTGAGGTAGCAGACAAACAAATAAATCAAATGAACCAATCGAATGACCTCCATAGTTGAGGTAGATTTACAGTGTCTCTGGGTTCTCTAGGTTTAAAGCTTCAGTCCTGGTTCTGTGAATAATCCTTGTTTCAAATTACTGAGTTCCTATTCCTGATTTCATTGTATTACAGTGGGCCTGTATTGTTGTAGTTTTTAATTGTGTTTTCTTGGGTTTCAGCCTCTGTTTTGAGTTTATCAGAGTGCCTTTATTCCCCTCAGTGGTTTTCTGCTCATTCCTCCCTCAGTCTCTTCTGCCTCTGATTTAGTTAGGGTGAAGTCTTCTTGCTTACATGTTTTTCCTATTTTACTTTGAAAGTCAGCCTTTATTCCCTTGTGCTGCTTTTATTTCCTGTCTTGCCTTGTCTAGTTGTCACCTATTGGTAGATATCATCACCTGTGTCCACACCCATCTGTCTTCCCCGGCACTTCTGAGAGTATTTGTAAACTTGCCTCAAGATGTCCGTTCATTTTCCTTGATGTGCATCTCTGATTTCTATGTAGGTCCTTTTTTATTTACTTTTTAAACTTTGGGACTTTTTATACCTGCCTAAATAAAGGCATGTTATCTTATTTCATTACATTGTTTTTGTGCAGTTCACCTCAGCTCCACATATCTTGACACACAATGGAAGAGAACAACAGAAAAGACACTACTGCCATCAGGAAAACAAAACCCGTATTAAACGATACAGTGAATCTAACCAAGAATTAGCTTGCGACGTGAAAATTCCTAACTACTGTAAGTCGTGAGGCTCATGAGCCGATCCCAATCTAAGCACTAAGACAGGCAAGTGGAATAAGACACAATAGGACTGAGATAAAACTGAGCCTTTTGAGTCACAGGTCTAAGAACGGACTCACAAATCTAAATCAAACAAAACATGTTGCTGTTAAAAAATACAGACTCACCCTTAGACCAGGAAAGCCACTTATGCCAGTCCCACCAACAGGGCCCTGTGGAGGAACATCAGAGGAACATTGTAAGTACATTTGTCTCACTCTCAAAACAATACAGGAGTAACAAAGCATATTTATGTCATCTGATCACAAAGAAGCCTAAAAACCTCTCAGTAAAGCTAAGATTATTCATACACATATAACTGTACATTTTACAGCTGAGTATTATGAGACACTGTCCACCCGTGCTGCCTCTAATGAGACAGCACAAACAGAAGAAGCCAGAGTTCGAAGACAGAAGACTGAAGTAAGTATTGGACATACTGAACAAAAAGCAGGCACGAGTTCTCACCTCATTTCCATCTGGACCAGGAGGCCCCCTCTCCCCAGCATCCCCCATGACACCCTACGGGGCAAATACATCCGCAATTAATTTAAGAAAGTCAGGACTACCATTTCTAACTTTACCCTCAATCTGCAAAGAGTAGCACCTCCACAGAGATAAAAGAGTAGTGTTTTTTCTCCTGCTTTCTCCATAACGACTCTGTGCTTTCTGTCATGCGTGGCATAGCAAACTTTTTTTAAAAACTGACTTTACATGTAGCATTTAACGTGCAATTTCCCAAAGTAATTATTCAAGATTAACTTCACATGGACATAATGTGCAAAAGCACACTTTTTAATGAGGCAAGATTAGCCGGCGTATTAGCCAGACATCACTGTTCCAAGAAAAAAAAATTAATAAAACAGGCACTGGGCTTTTTGCCCGCTTGGCAACTTCAATACAGAGAAGCGAAGGCTTGTTTTTAAAACATTAACTTTTCACAGTGTGCGGGCCCAACCTAGACATTCCATCTGTCTCTGAGTGTAACTGTATTCAAGGCCACCCTGGAACAAACTTGCAGACAATATGCCAAGATGCATGTCATTTGCTATATCTTGAATACTGTATTGTAGGTATGTGTACATGTGTAATAGTCCTCTTTGTTCTTTTCTCTCGATGTCCTATCAAACCCGCCTCCTGCTGCTTTAGCACATTCACAGCAGCAGGATACAAACGTGCCTCTTTTGGATGCTTCTGGGGTCTGTGTGGATATGCAGTACTGCTATATACTGGCATACTGTATACCTGATGAGCTGGGTAGCAGCAGTTTTTACCATCTACGTGATGGGCAAAAAGTATAGATTTAGGGAACTGTTAAGTATGGCAAAAACCAAAATGGATTCATTATTACATGTCTTCCTTTGGGGCCAGGTCTTCCAGCAGGTCCAGGTATGCCCTAGAAAAGAAAAACAAGCAGTTAAATTTCTCACGCAAGTTTAGGATTGAAATTGAAATGACTGGAAACAGAATTAGAGAGGATACGAGCCTAAACAACCACAGCTCTTCTAATTTCCCCACAATGCATAAAACAAAATAAGCCCATAAAATAAGATGCTTAAATTATCCATTAAAGTCGCACAGGTTCTCAACACAGCCCACTTTAGGTGAGGATTTAACAATGCATTTCATAACGTTGAATAAAGTTCTCTTGGCATAAAACAAGCTGATGTGAAAAAGCCACAACAAAACTACAAACACCGGGATTTCTTAGATTTTGACCTCTCAAGAATGAAGCAATGTGTTCAGTAATTACTGACTACCTAAATGGAAAATATTTTTTTCTGTAGCCTAATGATGGGGGGAAAAAGTTTGAATAAACAGTAAATAAATGGAGGTGAAAGATAAGATATTCACGGATTTATTAGAGGTAAATAAAACATTTGTGATGGGAAATGTGTCATGTTTATAAAGACTTTGACAAATTGCACACTGGAAATGAACAAACATCACCCACTTTCTCCCCTTCCAGCCCGGGTGGCCCAGCATCGCCCGGAGGCCCAATGAAACCCTGAAAATGAGAAAAAACATCACAACAAAGTAAAAATTCTGTGCTGCATTAACACAGCACAATGCTTACATTAACTTGTCATTATAAAATAACGACAGCAGAAGAATAGTAGCCTGTCTGGTGCACTGTTCTTAAATGCCTTCAAATGCACTAATAATATTTCAGCAACAGAGCTGCACATAGTCTTTTATTTTGGAAACTGACTAGATTTCCTTTTCCTGCATCTGACTTTTTGCACTCTGTATCAGATGTGGGTCATGTCCGCTCATCTTGGCTAACATCAATAACTTATTTTGTGCTGATGGCAGCACAGGAAAAAAAGATTTGCCACTGAAATCAGTTCATAACAATCAGGACGGTCGCAGCTTGAACATCTTTGTCTGGAGTACAGAGCCACCACATGAAAGTGCCTAATTGGGTAAAAATAGATGACACAGTCAGAGGATTTTTTTTTTTTTATCCTTTTAAAATGTAATTCTGGATTTTAAAAAACATCTGTGGCCCTGATGCATCCTGTGGGAAACATGGGCGAAATAGCTGGATTCACTGGCCAAGGTTCAAGGTAAATGTAGTTCAGGAACAGTCTGAACAAAGATTCCTCATCGGTGTTACAGTTTGAATTCAAGGAGTTTTCCAGTGAGTAAAAATGCAAACAGGATCAGTATCTGAGACCAATGATCGATTTAATTTTTGTACCAATAACAAATAGGATCTTTAATCAGATTTTAAATCATGAACAGTGTTCTCATATCATAATTGGTCCTGCATTACAAGTTAATATACACCAAAAACAAATCTGTTGGAGCCATAAGAAATTAAAGTTGGTTTTAGCCTCATGTTTGCAACCAAACTGTCAAAATACGAGCAAAAAACCCCAAAGCTGCTCAGTATTTGTACTACAATTCAGACTGGCTGCATTCAGGTTTGTATGTCAGTTAGCATACAACGTAATCAGCATTTCCGAGTCATCCTTTTTTTTTTTTGCATCCCTTTCCACCCTCTCTCATTGCTCAAACATCTTTCTTTTCAGCACATTGTCTGCCTCTGTGGCTCCTTCTCACCCTGCCAGCTTCGGTCCGACACTGTGATCCTAGCTATCCTGTTTCCTGGGACCGCAACGCTCCTCTTAAGTCCATTCTCTAGCTAGCTCATTTGGCCCCTTCTGATTTCATCTGTTCCTCTTCTACCCACTGTCTTTCTTCTGTTCTCCTATTTTGGGGCATTTAAGTCACTGTGGAGCCAGCCTGAAACTCTGGTCCTAATCCTTTCAGGAAATGAAAGAGTTCAATGTAGTAATACTGAAGGGAAAAAAAAATAGCAGAAAACACCTTATACTTACACGAACACCTTTAGGGCCAGGGCTACCTTGTGGCCCGGCCGAGCCCTACAAAGAAAAACAGGGAGACTTTGTTGACTACAAAGCATCCGATGTGCATAGGTCAGCAGAAATTCGTGTACATTATTGTGGCTGTGTTCACTAAGTAAAGTTCTCGATAGAGCAATAAAGGAATCTGCAAGGATTGATGGAGAAACAATTTTTGTGTGTTTTTCACTGCACCTGCCTGCCAGGGTAACCTGCAGCTCCAGCTTCCCCAGGAAGTCCTGGTATGCCCTAAAGTGACGAGAGAGGAAAAGGGAGAGAGAGAGAATGAACGGTGAATAGGGAGATTAGGTGGACGGATAAAGTGAAAGGGGAGAAACGCAGACTTCTAGTAGCAGTGCCAGCTAAGGAATAAAACAAGCACTGTTCATTCCCAACAGCTCCGTCTACTAACTGCATCTTTCAGCACCCCTCCAATACACCCCATCCCTCACTATCTCACTCTGGCTTTTACTTCAGCTCATTGTTCACTGTTATGTGACTCATTCTTGTTATTGTCGTTGTTTGAGAAAGTGAAGAGTTTTAAGAGGGATAAAAAGAGCCATAAAAAGAACCAGCTACTATAGGGGACAACTGAAGGACCATAACTGGCTTGTCACACACTCATCTTTGCATTTGTTCATTTGCATGTGTGTACCAACCCAGTTCCTATTTGTATTATTGTGACAAAAGTACAAGCCGGAATCCAGCTACCTTGAATTTAACACTTTTAGTTTTGTTGGGCACTAATGCATGCTGTAACACAAACCATGAACACAAATAACTACTTACTTGTTCTCCTGGTGGTCCAGGTGGACCCAGATAACCTTTAGGACCCTTAAAAAGTAGAATGAAACAAGTACTTTTAGTAAATTTCAACTGAAAAATTGGTAACTAAGAGTAACTAAGCTGCCCCGCTAGCAGCATTAAAAGGCATAAAAACTAAATGCTAAATTAAGAATATGTACGCCACATGTGAACTATTAGAGAGCAGTCAGTCTAATCAAAATATCATGTTGAGTGTTGAAACAAAACATGAGGATGAAGTCAGGGGATTACCAGCTTCAGTAGGATTCAACTACTTGGAAACCATGAATCTATGTGTCAGGTTCAAAGAGTTTAACCAACCACTCCACTGGACAAACCCCAAGCAGTGCACTAAACAAGAAGAGCCAACAGTAAAACTAGAAAAAAGAAGGGTAGTTAATCACTTTGATGAAGTAAAGAAAAAAAGCAGTGGGATTGATTTCCTGTGGGCAGTTTTTGTGTTATTACTTTAAAATTTCCAAAGTCATAGATAATGCTTTAAACTTGGGTCAGTAACCTTATGCACATCCTGCAGGTCCTGTGTAAACATGAGAAATTATGCAGTTTTGTATCAGTGAAAATAATGGTTTGAGCTTCATGTTTCTGTCTGTGGGCAGGGACACACCAAAGGACGTGTGATAAAACAATATATAACAAATCTATTAGATGTGACATCTCTGTTTGAGAAATTTGCTCTAAACAGTTTTCTTTCAGTTTGTGCCATCTAGTTTTAACGAGTCTGTGTCCCATTTTACATCAGGACAGTTTATAAAAACAATTTACAATTTAAACACAAAAAAATGTTCATTCTGCAGAAAATGATTAAAGTGGAAACAGTTTAGTGACTCTGGTCCAAAGCCAGCCCTGGGCTACAGCAAAATCCCACATTTAGTTAAGTAAGCTTGTTTTCTTTGTAAGCTAAACAGGATTTATTGTTGAGTAAATCAGAGCTATTCTCCTCTTAAGCGCTTTATTTTTGCTTTTGACGTGATTATCAACAACAGATGTTTACAGCGACAAAACACAAGGTCATGGACGGGACAGCGTCTTTTTCGGGGAAGAAAGAGGGCTTCTTGAACAGTATCAATGTCTCTGTCATGTACTTCCCAAGTTGTGACATATGACCTTCATGCTCAATAAAAGTTCCACGCAGGGCTAAAGAGCGTAGGCCAGTAATTTCCTCTGAAAATACCTGATGGGCCGCAGGAGGTGTGCTGGATGTATTAAGTTTAGCTACTGCAAACACTGATGTGGCCTCTTGGGATTCAAGGTTAAGGCCAACTATGTGGAAACCAGATTCAGAATTTCATCAAGAAGCTACCTGTAGATACAGCCATGTGAGGAGCAGGACCACCCACTATAACAGAATAAATCTATTGAGTTCATGGGGTCATGTCAAGAAAAACTCAAACACAACAGCAGCGATGTGTGGCTTTGAGTAAAACTATAAAGCCTAAAAAGAATTTAAGTCTGTCAGTTGATAATTATGTATCAATAATGCTTTTCATTTTACCCGTCACTGCATCTATGAAATTCTCTGTTTTAAAGCATGGCATGACAGTGGATGTCTGGTACCCAAGGCAGTACCATATCACCCCATTAGAACACTTCGCTCTCGCACTGCAGGCTTACTTGTTGTTCCTAGAATCCAGCTTCCAGTTTGGATTCGGCAGACAGACACTATCTCTACTTTTAAGATTAGGCTTCAAACTTTCCTTTTTGGTAAAGTATATAGTTAGAGCTGGATCAGGTGACCTTGAATCCTCCCTTAGTTATGCTGCAATAGGTGTAGACTGCTGGGGGATTCCCATGATGCACTGAGCATTTCCTTTTCTGTCATCTTTCTCACTCAACATGTGTTAACAGACCTCTCTGTATTGAATCATATTGTTATTAATCTCTGTCTCTCTTCCACAGCATGTCTTTATCCTGTCTTCCTTCTCTCACCCCAACCGGTCGCAACAGATGGCCCCGCCCCTCCCTGAGCCTGGTTCTGCTGGAGGTTTCTTCCTGTTAAAAGGGAGTTTTTCCTTCCCACTGTCGCCAAAGTGTTTGCTCATAGGGGGTCATATGATTGTTGGGTTTTTTCTCTGTATGTATTATTGTAGGGTCTACCTTACAATATAAAGCGCCTTGAGGCGACTGTTGTTGTGATTTGGCGCCGTATAAATACAACTGAATTGAATTGATTGAAATGGAATGGAATATTGACTATGCTATTGATCCCACGGTCCAGGGAAAGGTGGTTTTCCTCTTTCATATCACCTCTGACCTTAAACCTTAAAAGCCAGGTTTAGCTTTGAGCAAAGCAGCACTACGTCCTAACAGTCAGCTTCAAGCTCTGACTGAGACAGAGAGGAAGAAACAGGATCGACCTCACACGGTAAGGTAAAGATATAGGAGGGGAAAATGAGCAAGAAAAGATGGACTCATATATTTCTTTCTGTTAGATTATAATGAAAATATAAAGACACACAGACTGTAGACAGAGAACTGTGGCAAGCAGCGATGACACACTGATTCACCTCAATACAAAGGATTAAAAGGAAACAGTAAATGGTAAAAGTAAGATAAAAGTTGTGCTCCCAGTGATTTTTTTTAAAGAATTATAAAACAACAAAATGACATTGTACAGTACATAAACATGTACTTTTTCACAGATTGAAAGTCTTTTATGCTCTCATCTCACAAGCAGTTTTATAGAATAAATGTTACCAGTAAGCCTGGAAATCCATTGGGTCCAGGACGACCTGGAGGTCCTCTGTCACCCTAATAAAACAAAGGAAAAAGAAAGCAGTACAACACATGCACAGTCATTATTAAATGCCATAAATGAAATATTGTTTAACTCAATACTAAAGCTTCATAAAAGCATTACACCAGTGAATATTTCATGAATGTGATGCAATTTTTGAAAAAGGAAATAGCTTTTCTGGTTAAAATGAGAAATGTGGGCGTCCAGAGCAAGCAAAATAGGCAGTGCTTGACCAGTTAGATATAAAATTAGGCATCAGTTAACACCAACGTGAACATGATCGCTCTCCTCACATCTCAGAATAGAGTTCTGGCTCATAAAAAGGATCTTATATTGCCTGTTCGCGTCCATCCTGTTGTGGCTGTGGCCGGCTAATCCCGCTGTGTGCTACCTCAGCTGCCACTTGTTAAATCTGTTATTTCTGTCGCTGTCATGGATCTGACTTTGTCCTGTTGACAAGAGCTTGGCCATCTTAGAGGGGAGCAGCATTTTTGGTTTAATCCTGTGCTCACTCAGAGAAGACTCAGCTTACACTTCAGTTCAGTTACGATACTGCACACTTGACTTACACATGCACAAAAAGAGGTAGAAGCGCAAAGTAAACGAGGAAATTACACTGTGATTCATCATTTGGACAGCTGAGTTGTTTCTTGCTAAACATTATTAGTAAAGGACTGAAGCATCTGTTTATTAATTCGCCATCACTTTTACATGAAAAGCCCACACAGTGAAAATTCAGATTTAATGATATAGAGGAGATCAAAATATTCTTATTTTGATTTTAAAACCCCAAAAAAACAAAATAAAGGTAAGTTGAGCGTGCATATGAGAAATTAACTTGGCTAACAGATTTTAACCAGCATTTTTTCTCATTATAACACCCCGATTTTTTTATAATCACAGTGCATGGTAGTGCAGTGACCTTTCTGTGCGCAATTTGAATGTTTTCTTCTCTTCAGGTGCTTCAGTTTCTCATGGTCCAAAGACATGCATGGGTTATGTTAACAGGCAATCCTACACTGACTGTAGGTGTGAATGATTGTCTGTGTCTCTGTGTTAGCCTTGTGCTAGCGTGGAGACGTCCCATGGTTTCCTCCTGGTACACAACAACGCTCAGCCTCATCTAGTGAGAGTATGCAGACAGTTCCTGGCCTCACCTAACCTACATCCAACAGAACATCTCTGGGACATTATGTTTTAGTCCATCCAAAGCCGCCATGTTCCACCTCAGACTGTCAGGAGCTCAGTGATGCCCTGATACAGATTAATGTGAAACTTCACATTAATCTGTTTTCCCCAGGAAACCATCCATCATGTCATTAGGAGAATGAATACCAACATCCAAGGCCATACAGACTAATGAGTATCATTATGAATTGATTCAATGAGGTTTCTGCGAAATAGACTAGCCTGTTGCAACATTTCTTCACTTTCATGTTCACCAAACTGTCAAGATGCCCATAGATGGACTCTACCCCAGTGCTGCTAACCCTAAATTTGCATCTGGGCAACAAAAACACTTCCTTGCTATTTCCAAAATGTTTCCTCAGTGTTTTAAATACTCCCAGCATTCCTTTCTTTTGTTGACTCAATTTTGAACAGTGTGAAACAACACTCGCAGCTGCACACATCTTTTAAGGCTCATGGAGGTACAAGAGTGATAACAGCACTGCACAAAGAATGAACTTGAAAGTAATACTGGACGAACCCTACAGTTTTGGTCTTAACTGAAACTTCACATTAATCTGTTTACCCCAGCGAGGATTTAAAGAGAGCTATGATGCTTTGCTATGCAAAGCTCCTTAAACTTGAGGGAAGACGGATATGTTTGGATCTTAATCACTTCAAAAAATGTAGCAGTGCTTCTCAGGAATATCATTACTGTAATCATGTTTGAAGAAGAAAATGAGACAGAAGTGATGATAGACTAAGCAAATGCCAGCCGTGATGATGTCAGACAAATCCGTGACAATAAAATGACTCAGAAATGCATAAAAAAAAAAGCTTTAAAGTCAATGTAGAATGAATTCATTGGGATAAAGAAAACCATAGTCATTGTTGCAGTACTTGAAAACGAATTTATGCTGAAAACGCCTCGTAAAATTAAATGAAAAATCTGTTTTTCATCATCATGAATGAAAACTGTTTAGTATTTTGTGACTTGTCACGGGCTTGCTGAATAATCTTTAGTACTCACTCTACTGTATGAACTGTGTCAACGTTTTGGGATCATTTCACAACATTGAGAAAGAGAAAAAAAAAAAAGAATCCCACATCATAAACCAAAAGCTGCCAGTAAGTGAAATGGTGGGGGTGACGACTCATGAGGTCATGAGACAAACATAGCACAGAGCAGAGGGACAGAGAGCCGGACACAGAGACCAGTGGCAGATTCCTCACCTTCTCTCCTGGTGGAGCCTGACCTGGAGACAGCCCAGGGTCTCCCTTTGAACCCTAGAACAGAAACAGGGTCACAAGGTCAGAATGTCAGGCACTCAGTGCATTTATAATCTATTGCTGACACGCACATCCAGATATAACCACACCTCAAAAATAGTATACATAAAGATTCTGATTTTGAGAGGTCCAAAAATAAGTATGCAGAATAAAGCATGCATAACATGCAGGCTTCAGTGCTTGATTACCTGATTTACACTGTATGTGTATAAAAAATGTACGTGAACCCTTAAAATAGCTGTCAGCAAAAGGCTAGGTGGTGGCAACCAGAAAAACAATAATGGGGGTAAAGGAGTGAGTCTGATGCTGAAGTTGATGCTCATCTCACATAAAAGACATCTGCAAAGGCTTATAACAAAAAATGACTCATTAGATACATTCTGGGAAATTTAGAAGTAATTTTAGATCCTAAAAACTGAAAATCAGCTGAAGGCAGGAAGGAAGGAAGGAGCTGATTACCACCTTTTTTTATTGGTCTGCATGCAGCATTTTGTATGGTATGAAAAAGCAAAGCATACCAAATTCAAAGCCATCTGGTGTAGGATGACAGTCAGAGGCTTTAACCTTCAGCCGGGTCCATAAGTAATTTGACATCTTGATTGTTTTATTTATAATCTGCTGCAGCAGTGTAAAGAGGCAACTTTCAAAAACTTACAGACATATCTGTGTAATAGACAAGCATCACCTGTGAGTCTTTTATGGGTTTAATGAAGACGAAACATACTGTAGCTCTTAGTCTGTTTTACTTAGTTGGTTATTAAAGTGAAAGAAACAGTTGACTCCAAACACGCAGCTGGAGCAAAGCAGGGATTTCCAGAGAACAGCAATATTGCTCTTTAACAGCCAGAGGTCTCACGCCTTTCCTCCCCAGTATGAAATAGATTGACGTCAGAACATCTTTTCTGTTGTGATTCAACTAAAAATAATATTCTCCAGACAGCAGACAGCCTTAAAGATGCAATGCCAGTAGACTGTCACATAATTTTAGTGCCAATACTTAATCTGACATTCCAACTTGCTGTTGTCAACACTAAAGTGTCCTGATGAGGAACAGTTAGCCATTCCTGCAAAGCAGGGGGAACACACTGTAAAAAATATTTGGGTTTGGATACTAAGAAAACGAGTGAGTCAAATATATTTTGTGACAGTTTAATAAATGTGTTTTACATGCATGATGAGCTGAACACACGTGACAGACCCTATTTTTTAACTTTCACTTTCACTCTTGTATCTTCTACACATGGGAAGAGACAAATGTACTGAAATGTGGAGGTGAACAGACAGGCACAAAAAATGCTTCCAACTACACAAAGGGAATGTTGCTTCATTCTAACGTCACAATTTTCCATTCTTTGCATTATTTATTTTTATGTCATAGATCACATTGAGGAATGTTTCTACAACTGAACTATACCGGAGAGTAAGAGGAGGAACTAAATGTAAAAAAAACTGACTCTGAATTGAACCTGTTTGTTTACATTGTGTGATTATTCCAATGACTGGAAACCTACAAACATAAACAACCAGAAATGGGTGTCAGGAAGGCCAATCCAGAAACTTATTGGCGGTATCTCTAAAAAACTGCAGATTCCAAGATCAAACAATTGTACACAAGTAAAACTTCCCAGGGTATCCTGAGCCCTGCCATGAATGGAAACTCCTGGAACACCAGTGTCACTGTCCACAGTGAAGTGAGTTTTACATCACAATAGACTGAAAGGCGACTGACATCTTCAAGCGTGACTGAAACTTGCTGCTGCCCACATGGAGAAGCTAGATATTAACCAGAGAAATGTTTTAGGGTCAAATGACACAAACTTTGAGCGATTTGTCCACAGTCGAACGGCCTTCCTACAGCCCTGGTCTCAGCCTTATTGAACATTTGTAGACTGTGCTTAAAAGCAAGTCTGTGCCACAAAACCAACTATTGTAAACAAACTCTACCGAGCCAAGAAACATGGTCAAATATCCAGCCAGGATTATGCCACGAGCTTCTTAATGGCTACAAAAAGCATCTGGTTGATCTGCAACTTGCTAAGGCACATTTAATCCAATAACAGTGGGGGTGCCTCTAAATACTTTTTACAGGAAATCCAAAATAAATTCAAACTTTAGCAGCAATTTCTTTTTCCAGACTTTCAAGATTTTGCAGTCATTCCACCCTGGACAAAGAACGGTTAAAAAAAAATAACAAACAAACACTAAAAGCCCCAAATCACCACAACATTCACTCCCACGATTGTTTTATGTAAACTTTTTACCACAACTGCATAAGTACCTGTCCATTTGCCTTTTCTAAATCAGTTTGTGAATTCCCTTCTGTACGCATGATATCTTTATTTTAGTCTTCTCTTTGCATAAGTAACCTGTTTAAATGTGACTGGTATTCGTTGTTTGCTAATAATAGACTGATGAGTGCCACATAAAGGATGGTTGTGCCACTCATCACAACTTGGTTCAGAAGGAAAAGAAGATCATTTAAACCAGGGGTAGGCAACTCCAGGCCTCGAGTGCCGGTGTCCTGCAGGTTTTAGATGTGTCCATGATCCATCACAGCTGATTTAAAGGGCTAAATGACTCCTCAGCATTTCTGAAGTTCTCCAGAGGTCTGGTAATGAACTAATCATTTGATTCAGGTGTGTTAACCCAGGGTGCAATCTAAAACCTGCAGGACACCGGCCCTCGAGGCCTGGAGTTGCCTACCCCTGATTTAAAGGTTTTGGTAAATCCCATTTTTCACATTTTTCTTATCCGTCTACACTCACTGCAAATAACGATTACCTGCCTGTGTTTTTAAGCATCATATTTCCATAGTTTTGACTGACACCCAATGAGGCATACAAAGGCTAAGCGAGTGAGAGAACAGAAATCCCGCCATATCATAAAACCAGTTCCTTCCTGTTTAAAAAACAGTCGGCTGAGCATGAAGTCGACAGCCTGACAGGCTCTTTCAGGTTAAGGGCTTATCTTTATAACATTTCAGATTAGGCTTCAAAAATGTAAGATTGGCTCAGCGTCAGTAACCATATTCCCAGTGTCCTAGAAACAAAACACATTTCAACAAGAGATGTTTTCCAAAACTGAGACAAAGAGGTTCTCAGTCGCTTCCCTGCCTCCGCAAAGGGTTTCAGGGCTGAGAATGACTCACTGACCGGTCACTGTGGTATTAGATACTCTTTTATTTTTCCACATGAGTGTGGGAGTAAACGCTGATAGAACAGAAAGCCGGCAGGTGGCCTGCTGTTGCATAATAGCTGATCAGTGGAATTTAGCCAAATCTCAGCGTCTCAGCAAGGTCAGAGGTGATTCAGAATAAATCCACCTCTCTGTGCTGTTTCAACAATCAAGGAAGAAAAACAACATTTGGTAGTCTCATAAATATAATTCTTCTCTCCGTGTACTAAGAAAGTGAAGAGGCATTCGCTTGTCGGAAAGTTTAGCAATCAGCAATGAAGAGAGAAGAGTAGGACAACCACTCATGCTTCGCTTGACTCCTGTAGCGGGAGTGTTTGTTGATTGATTGCTTGGTCTTGGCAGCCACTCTGTGGGTAGACAGTAAGGAATACAGCCACCACAAACATCTGCATGGCACTGCCCACATTCTCGCTCAGCCTTACCGATGTTTCTGGTCCTAAGCTGGGGAAAAAGCTTAGCAGTGACGCTTTCTGTTGGATTTTTTCCCCCTTTTTATATGAAATCAGTGCTATGGTTAATGAGCCAGGACTGGCACAATTATGCCCTGTGGTTAAAGCCAAGGTAATAAGGATCTAAGCTAAGGGTATCATTTAAACAAACAACCACCTTTGTCTCCTCCTGGTGCACGGTGTCAATATACAGGCCTGCTATTATCATGCTTGCCTACATCTGGCTGTGCTTAATTCCTCTTGCACACACTCTCTTCTCTTCAGGGAACAGCACGTCAGTCGCTATAATTGATGCCATTTGCTATATAGTAAAAACTTTAACGACAGAAGAGTAAATTTCCATAAGTTTGCGGGATTTCTCAGATAACTAAGCCACTTAGTGACATCACTGCTGATGTACTTGATTGATTTAATGTTCAAGGACGCAAAGTGCAGACTCTAACAACTGTGTACAACTATCCTTTAAAAACAAACTCTTGACATGCCTCCAACTGAACTAGCCATTATGTCATGAAACGCTGTGTGTGGCCTTGTCAGGAGAAGACAGCATGAAATCAGGACGCCGCACTGATGAATAGCATGATTAGATCTACTGCCAATAAGAATTTTTAAAAAAAACATGGCGGGTTGAGTGTATTTATACAGTTTTTTGGTACAACTGTCTTCTCAACGCATTTTATACAATAACCCACATGCACTGATGGTACATTAAAGCCAATTCCTCGTTTCAGTAGTTTCCTAAAGTACATTTTGAAAAGTCGGCTAAAACAGCAAAATCCGATCACTGAGCTTCCGATTAATTTACATCACACACTATTTCCTTATCCATAGCCACAGCCAATGGATTGAACACCCCAACTACTAGAGCAGTGATGACATGGTTATCAAAACCCACTAATGTGACAAGTCCTTTTCAAACAAACCAGCACTTAGCCATGGGTTTTCCACTTCTTCACAAAACAAGGTGACTAAAAGCACCTTTCACACGCTTTTTAACAAAAGCGTGTGAAAGCAGAGTATAACCGAACAACATCCCTGGCCTGTGTGTTGGGTTCAGTGGTGCCCCTTGTGGCTGTGAGGAGACGTTCTCCACACCCATAGAGAGTGTACTAGCCAGAACTCTGTGTGCTGTACTCTCACAGAGTGCTGTTTATACACCCCACTCCTTCTCCTATTGGAGAATACCGCTCACCTTGGGTCCAGGTGGTCCAGGCTGTCCTGGTTTTCCATGTGGACCAGGGGGACCCTGGAACAGACACAGGAGAGAAACGTGAAATTGCTGTGCATTGCTGTCAACAGCTCAATTTGAGATGAGTTCAGAATAGTTACATGTTCCACAGCAATGTAAGTTTCAATCAAACACTCTACTTAGTTTCACTTTCTGCCTGCAGCTCCTGTGCTCTGCAAACGCATGCAGTTTCCTGTCAGTACTCTTGGCTCAGACTCTACTCAGAGACGGCCCTTTTAGACTATATTAAAAACAACAATAGTAACAATAATAACAGTAACAATAAGCACTAAATAAGCACTAACAATATATTTATTTTATGACACTACATGTGCACAGTCAAATGCACACTTGCACATCCACCATAAATGCACTGCATTCCTCCACATCTGTACCCCTGCTGCTTACCAGGCTTTTCTGCACTACAACAAGAGCTAAAAAAAAAGAAGCTCCAGCTTTTCAGTGCTGTGCCTAATGTCTTCTGAATGAAAGTGCATACTGTCAACTAAGGTCCACCTTAAAGAACAAATGGAATTAATTTCTCTGATGGCACAAACATTAGATTCTCTTATTGCAACTCATCAAGACAAAAGCTGCTATGATAATCATCGCCTCTTCCCCCCCCCAGCACAGCTTTGTTATAGGATACAATATCATCTTTCTGCACAAACACATCTGAGTGCTAATATGACATTAGCACTCATATACACCAGAGCTGCCTCTCGCACTTGCAGGCATGATAGTTCACACTAGTTAACAGCACTGACAACAACATCAGCAATGTCTGTAATTCGTTATCCCATGTTGTCATGTCAAGGAGTTCATGTGACGGGGGACGGTTCTGAAACGCAAAGTCCATTATCCTGTGCAGAAACAGCAGAGACACAGTTAGAGTGCGCTGCCCTCAGCTTTCCAACACATAATGGTCCAAAGCCTCGTCCTGTTTGGACTTTCGGACTTAGCCTACAGCGTGATAAGTATGCTCTGTACCAGCCATGTGTTTTACAATCCTGTAATAAGAGACATGTTTAACTGAATGCCACCTCTTAGGGTCTACAAGCCTGTCTGTCTTTCTTTAAGGATGCTTTTCATGCTGTTAAAATGCAGACTTAAGTTAAAACCTTCCCTTCAAGTGGAATCAGTCATCTGGCGTAACAGCAATGCCAAAACTGAGGCTCAGGCAAAACAGCACCAAGTCCTATGACATAGTTGTGAATCTTGCTCATCTTTTGCTGCAACTAACATCATGCCATCTGACCTAATGCTTCAACATCTTGGGGAACTATAAACTCCTGTATGTGAGTGTTGCATGTTGCCTTTTTGTCACATCTGAAAAACTGTGGCTAAACTCAGAGAGGAAATCATGTACACATAGGCACATAAGTATATCCACAGGGGGCCACTCGCCTAAATAAACTAACATGGTTTTACCCCATTAATAATCAATGCATTGGCGCTGACACTCGGGAGTCATTGCTTGATGTGGTTAAGAAGCAGGTGCTGAAATCTACAAGTAATCAACTTAATTATGCTAAATGTTTTCTTTAAGTGCAGCTGGTATTTCCATTCCATCAGTTAAATTAGCCATGATAACGCATCCCCACATGGTCGAGCAAAGATGGGAAGAAGAAGTTATTCTTATTTATGACTTATTTATACCTTCCGTCCGACACTAAAAATAAAACACGCCTTGTTCTGTTTAAAAGATGCCTCCAGAGCCTGTGGCGTGATTGCGGCGTTGCATCATCAGCCTTAGCAGATGTATACAAAGTAGTCTTGAGATCAGAGTGGATTTAATCACACTAACCACAACACTGTCTGTCAGCACTGCTTTCCCGATGGTCGCAGATGTGGTGGTGACTAGCGGAAAAGCACATGAGGAGTGATTTTGCAGAGATTACTCACCCGAGAGCCTCTTTTTCCTGGAGGACCAGGTAAACCAGGGGGACCAGGAGGACCCTAAACCAGAAAGAAACCAGAAAGGTGGAAAGGAAGGAGACATAGATAGAGACAGGGAAGAGGGGGGGGAAAGACAGTGCATTAATGGCAAGCAATAACATGTAGTTCACTGTTTAGGCATATTTATGTAGGAGCTGCACAGTTTAAAGAAAAGAGTCAAATGTTTGCATCTAAAAGCCCAATCAAGAAAGTCCTGATCAAGTAAAGCAAGTTACATTCTCATTATTAGACAGACACCGGTGTTCTCCGATTAGACTATTCCTAATCACCATCCAATATATGTCATATATATGCGTATCAATATATACAGGGCTAAACAGCATTGAATTAGCTAAAATGGAAGCAGAACAACAAATCCTGCCTGTGCTTAGAAATCAAGAAGTTAAAGAAGTTAATAGGAAACATAAACTAGAACTGAATGCACATGCTTAAGTAACAAATGTAATTAAGGATATGATGGGCAGATATTTTATCATTCAAGGTTTTGTTCTGTTAGAAACTTAGTGAGCTCATACAGTCCAAATGTAGAGCCAGCTTTTTCTTTTATTTATTTATTTGTTCGTTCATTTATTTTTTAAAAAACATGCCCTTTCAAAATTCTCTTACATCCTGTTTATCAAATGCTTCACATTATAAGCCAAATGTGTGGAAAGGAGTTTTAGAAAATTTAAGTAGAAACCAGAAAATCTATACCTGACAAATGACCACATGATATCACCTGCCAACTTAGGCTGAATCTGGGCTTTGACTGGATCATTGAAGCACCTTCATTCTTTTTTTCACTTTATGTTGTAGACTTGCTGCTGTGCTTGGCATCATTGTGCTGTTATGACCCAGTTTGGCTCAGGCTTTAGCTGTCAAACAGAGTTGACAGTTGACTAGAATACTTTGGCATACAGAGGCCTTCAAGGTCAAATCCTTGACTGCAAGGTCCCCAGCATTCACCGCCCCCTCCACCGTGCTGACAGTCTGTATAACATGTTTGTGCTGATTTGCTGTGTTTGATTCACACCAAATGTGGCGCTGTTAATCTTGGCCAAGCATCTCCACTTTGGCCTCTTCTGTCCAAAGGACTTTGTTCCAGGATTCTTCTGGTTTATTCAAACACACCTTTGCAAACCCCAGCTGTGCTGCCATGTTTGTCTTAGAAATAAGAGACTTTGTCTTAAACAAGCTGTACTTGTTCAGCCCTTTTCGATATATACTATAACCGTGAAATTTAACATGCTAACTGGCACCTCTGGTGTCTGAGATGTAGCTCTTGGGTTTTTTGCAGTTTCTCTGAGCATTGCAAGGTCTGGCCATGAGGTGAATTTGCTAGAACATGGGGAAAATTACGGTCTTGTGCAGTCTTGAAAGCTCTAGACCAGCAGACTGCCAAAACCTCTGCTTTTCTGCTAAAGATGCACACTTGCTGATAATTGATCAATCGAGCACATTTGATTAGCAGCACCTAGCTGCTACCTTCCATCTATGGAAGCAATAAGGGTGTACTTAGTTTTTAACAGGGCTGTGTGCCAGACATATGCACTAAATTCACTCTGTTTAGCTGTGTAGAAAGATTTAAATGTTTTGGGAAAAGGTCAGAGTCACATGTAAGAAATACTTGTACATCATTTCCTTCTCTCCCCCAAAACAATGTTAATATTCCCAAAACTAGATGATAAGACTGTTTACTGTTCAGTGTTTTTAGGGCACTCTGGAGCATCTCTTGTCAGAGAAGTAGATGGGCAGAGAGGGATACATAAATAAAGAAACAGCTGTTTGTTCCTCCAGACTCCCACATACAGAGACATGGAAAGTGTGAGCACACCACCGCCTTCACCACAACAACAGGGCCTAAAGAAACGGAGGCACTGATCGACTAAAATGACCGTATTCAAAGGCTTCATCTGTGCTGCCAAGATAGGGGTCAAATATTCAACAGTGTCCAGTGAAAAGGTCAATTTTCTTGAAAGTTGAAGGGCAAAATGAATCTTCTTTTGAAGAACTCTTTTTAACTGCGTGCGATAAAGTTGAGTTGATTCACACAAACCAATGTACGTTGTTTACACACAGCAACTTACTTTCAAAGGGGAAGGAGGAAATAAATGAGTGAATTTCACTCCAGTCCTGTATTTTATTTTTTTATTGGCTGTATTTCAGTGAAAACAATTTTTTATGTGTATTTGTGTATGTTTTTGTTATAGTTTATGCAAGTCTTTTGTTTATACTGCTGTCTTTCTTGGCCAGGACACTCTTAGAAAAGAAAATCTGAATCTCAAAGAGTCATTTTTCCTGAATAAATAAAGTTATAATAAATGAATAAATAAAATAAATGAAGATTTGGTGAGATTCCTTTAATGTCCTGAGACTCGAGTTCTTGTTTTGGGATTGTTTTTTAATTTCTAAGAGCTATTTGGGATAAGCTGGACCTGATAAACACAAAAACCAAGCATCAGCTTTGATTTCAACTTTCATATATTTCAATATTAACACATGGAATAGCTAAGGCAAAAAAAAATGTATAAAGAGACATTGGACACAACCAGTGACCTGTTCAGGCCAAAAAAACACATGAAAGCAGAAGAGTATAACAGCATTTCAGTGTTTTACATTGCAATACCGTATAAGCATAAAGACACCAAATATCAATATCTTACACACGCAACAAATGTAAAGTGTACATTTTATCAGACCACCAGATGGTGCTGTTGAGTGCTGTTTTTCTAGAAAGGTCAGCCGGTGACGATTAGCATGTGGGGCCAAGTTAGCAAACCAGAGATGTGGGCAGAAAGAAATTATAAAAGCACGTTGTCATTTAAACATATACTGTAGGCGCACTGGATTATAAGGCGCATTAAGCAAAACAAAACAGTCAGATAAGTCAAACTTTACTCAACTCATTCTTCTTGCTTCCTCCACATCCGTACCATTGATTCATTAATGTTGAATTCTCTCGCAACTGCTCTGTTCCCATGTTGTTGCAGTATATTAATGATTAACCTCGTATTGTGGATGGATTATCTTAGTTGTTCTCCTGACTGAAGTTTGGTCCGTTTACAGCATCCTGCCATGCGATTGCATTTGTCTCTAACCATTGGGAACCTTCATGTTAATTTTTAATCGAGTGGAAAAAAGTTAGCGTTCATCCTCCAGCTTCACTGTGTTTATGTTATGCTAACATAGCTGTGTCGCTAGGGATCACGGAGCTCATCATTATATACCAGCTAGTCCAACTTCAGTAACCCTACAAACGTCACTGTTGTTTAGTTTTCTGTCTTCATTTATGTCCCAAGTGATAGCAGAGCTGTATGTTAAAATTTTTTCACAAATCTCTCAGTCAGAACATGCAATGTCATATTTAGGTGGAAACTAGCGAGATAACTTCCTGCTAACTTCTAACTCTGTTAAGTTTAATAAATTCTGTTTTCATTTCATGAAAGAATTTAGACAGTTTTTAACTCTCAGTGATGCAGCAGTGTTCATTTGACTTTGGGACCTGAGTTTGACCCGGGTTACTCCACGAGGCTCCTGACTGTGGTAGCCGTAATGCTCCAACAATCCATCAAGCTTCATAGCTTACCAAAGTCATACTAAAACATTTTTCGGCAGATTTTTGAGCACCATGTACCACATAAGACTGGTTTGGGGTCAGTAAGCATAACCAGAATTCATACATAAGGCGTACAGTGTGCCTATAAGGCACACTGTCGATTTTTGAGAAAATTAAAGGATTTTAAGTGCGCCTTATAGTCCGAAAAATACAGTAAAGGTTTTTTGTTGATGTTTTTTAGCAAAGCCCGGACCAAGGACGTTCGTATAGAAGTAAAATATTCTGGGAATACTAGAATAAAAGGGTTTATCTCATGCAACATCATCTTAAGGTCATAGGCAAAGGAGTAGCAAAACTGACAGTGATTTAGCTCAGCCAAAGTCCAGCCAGTCCGTGGCCCACTTAACTAAACAAAGCTACATCCTAATTCAGAACGAGCTACAAAAACAATGCAATCCATAGCCTACTCCATGCACAACAACCCACATCCATACGTGTTGCAGAAAGCAAGGGCCTTTGTTACGTGCTCATGACACCCAAGCTCTACAGAGAAGTGAAGTGTAAAGCTGATGAAAGTCCGAGTATAGTAGTCAAGACAGCATTAACTTCCGACACGTGCTGTGGAGTTCCATGTTACTATATTAGCTCATTGTTTCACAGAGGACTGGCAATCACAGTCTCATTTTCAAATGACCTGTAACAGCTAGTGATGGGATTTCCGGCTCTTTTTAGAGATCCGGCTCTTTCGGCTCAGCTCACTAAAAAGAGCCGGCTCTTTCGGCTCCGAACCGGCTCTTCAGGTTGTTTTGTTGCTTTAATTATTTAATCATTAACAATAATATAAAATTATGCAGAAAAGGAATTACTAATATAAAAAAAAGTGGTTTTATTTATATATGTTTATATATGGCCCCTAGAGACAAAGCATGTACAAACTCTAAAGCATATACAAACTCCAAAACACATTTCTAGCGTTTACTGAACTTCCAAAACAGAGCTACCCAGATAACTTAAATTACACAATTGAAAGCATGTGTGTATTGTTTGTGTATTTATACACAAACACTCATATTTATTCAAATAATCTTAAAAAAAAGTTCATTTACCTGTTACTACCACACACCAAATCCGGTCGTTGGTACTTCCTGGCTTGTGTAGCCACTAGGTAACAAAAGCTCAACACTGCGCCCTAGCATCCTGGAGCACTTCTGTTGTCTTTTGTACGTGCTTCTGAGTTTTTACGTGTTTTGGAGTTTGTACATGCTTTGTCTCTAAGGGCCACCATAAATATACTTTATTTATTCACTCCACATAAAATGTAATAAATGAATCCTATAATACAAAAAACAACTATTTACATTTTAAACTTTTAACTATTTAAATTTTCAGCTTTTTCCTTTTAAACAAATTTAACGTAAAACAACATAAAACCCTGCAAACCACAACACAATTAAATATAAATTAAAATATTAAAACAAAAAGAAGATGCACATTCTCTGTCATATGGGCCTGCATGATTTCTGAATCCTTTATCATCCACAACTGAAAATAGTGGATGATTACTATACCTTTCTAACGTGATGTTGTTGTCCCTCGCTCTCTTTCTCTCTGGCTCTGTTCCTGTGCTACTGCGAGTGTAACTAACGCCCCTCCCCCCTCTGCCCAGCGCAAAGTACAGGCCGTGCATGC